ACGATGGGCAGTCCTAAGCTAAAGGCATACCCAGCAGCAACCGGTTCGACGACTTTGAGATGAAACCGGCACCCGGTTCTCGAGTAGAGTGCTTAAATACGAGATATGAGAACGCGTCGAGGTGACGGGACCAAATATGGTCGATCTTGAATCTTTTCTCTCAACAGAATTTCCTTAATCCTTATCTAACTACTAAGAAATATTTTATACATGGAATGCTTGAATATTACTTCGATGGATAATTAATCCTTAGATTCTAGATCGTAAACGGTGTTTCATATTTGATGTACTTTTTAGCACGATCTTAATAAAACCTGGAGAAATTTATATGGTAACGACCTCGAAAATAATCAACCGCCGATAACACCGATCTATCAAATCACGAAACCGGTCTAACAATATGGACTGTTTGTTAACAGCGTCATTAGCAAGGCGCAAACTATGTGAGAAGCAACCGTATAATCGAATTCTCGCATTCTCCCGTCATGTTCCGGGCTTTTTCGACAATTTTTGCCCGATGTTTAATTCTTTTGCAACTCGCCCTACTTTGAAACTCATCAATGCTATGTGAGCCGTTCAGTGCACACATCGATTAACTCTACTTTTTGAAAAATCTTAAATTTATGTGTCAAAGCACAAGTTATGACTATACCAAGTGCTTTGACACATAAATTTAAGATTTTTCAAAAAGTGGAGTTAATCGATGTGTGCACTGAACGGCTCATGTATGTACTTAAATTCGTTTAACACGTTGACTGCCGCGTCACTCATATTCGGGTGACAGCAAAATTTCTCCAAACTGATAGTGTGTAGAGTGGCGAAGTAATAAGCGAGGACCTCAAGAATTTAATAATGGAAACAAATGACCAAACATGATATCATGCAAACAAACGAAACGGGAAATTGTAATTGCGAGTACGCTTGGTGCAACAGCACTCGTGACCTAAAGGATATTTCATTGAAAATACGCGCGGCAGTCAACGTGTTAAAGTATAAGGGCCTACTCTTTTACCTAAAGTTCCTGATTATCTTTTAGACTCGATCTAATTAAAAAAAGCGAATTCTCGAATTTTCATGCTGTACTCGATTGGGAGAGGACGAGGTAAGCCATCGGTCGCCTAATTAAGAAGGAAGGTACAAAGCACGGCTTCCGGACGCCCGTCGCAACCAGGAAAGTACGTAAACTATTATAGCTTGAACCTTGGTGGAAATTACGGCTGGAAGGTCCACCGGACACCAAACCAGGAATAGAATACAGGGGACGTCACCCGGACGGCTGTGAATGCTAGTTCATGGTCGTCAGATCTCTTTTCGTCGAGAGGCTAACCACCGGTTGTCCTTCAGCAGTAGAAATATTTTGTTCAGAGGAGAGCACGAAGGTTTAACATGGGTCATAACCGTGGGGTTGGAATATCCGTCGGTCACCTTGAAGAGAGAATAGAGTAATAGTGTGGACTTCCCGAAGCTCCTGTACTGTATAATAAATAAATCCGAAAGTAAGGCAGAGAAAATCTTCTGCAATATCTTAAATTAAAGTCATCAGGTTTTGACAAACTTGAATTTATTATGTTGTAAACCTGAGTTAATAAGTGTCTTCAGCAGTTTACGGGGTTAATATTCATTATAATAAATATCCCAATTACTGACCACGTCACGTGTTCTACTTACTGGCTGTTCCTTATATAATTTTATATGTAATCATAAGCTGATGATTAGAAATTGGGACATTTACTTTATTTCATACATGGGAAATTTGAAACTGCGATGAATATTATGACTGATAAGTAAATCAGTCTTTTACTGGTTATTCGTACAATATACGTAGGTATGTATAGGTATATTTCTAAAGAAGGGAAAATGAGTATAAGTTGTTCATTTTTGTGACATATTAATCTCTCCGATGCTTGATTCTGTCTACAGAATTATTAGAGGACACGTTACTGTATTACAAATATAACTTCAATTTCAATACTCGTTATGTGTTACAATCTGCCTTATGTGTATATAGGCCTTGTCTATATCATCGGTGAGAAATTACTAATGATTAGAAGCTTTATGTGGCTTTGTGTCACACAAAGAGTCTGCAGTCTTCGATGTCCTTTAGAATATATTGCCAATTGCCACCGAGGTAAGAAGTAGAAAGCAAAACACCCGTCGATGTTGAATCGGTCATATAATCTAGTTATTGAAGAGTAATTGACGATAAACGAAGTTGTAGCTTTAGTTGTCAGCTACAAATTAGGTCCTATAAAATTCCACGGTAGGTCCAATGATTTAGAAGTACTTGAGTAAACACGAAACTTTTTGCCAGAAGCCTGCTGGTTCGACGGACGAACGGCCAGATTTTGTTAATACCAATAAAATGCCGGTTAATCGTACTTAACTCGTTAAATATTGGAATTAGAAGAAAAATTCGTGGAATTTTTATTGTAGAAAACGTTACTGCCCACGACTTTCATATAAAATTTTTTTTGTGTGTTTGAGCTGCATGGGGCCCCCTTCGCTGCCCCAGCGATTAGTCTGGTACGCTTAAATTTTCAATTTCAATTTCAGTTTCAACTTCCGTTTTATTAGTGTCCTCTAGAGGTTTTCTAGAGAATGATCAGACAACCAGTCGGCAAAACTGGAAGTCACAATAAACAGCGCGCTACGTTTGAACAAATTTAGTACTAGTTCACAATAGTCATCGATGATATACGTATAACGCAGCTGGATAATTATTATATCAATAAAAAATATTGTTATAAAGATGTAAATAAAAAAAGACAAAATAAATATAAATGTGTAAAAAATCTCATTTTTATACTGATACTGCCATTTTAAGTTTATTATTAAGAGAACATTGGTCGGTATTCAAAGTCGTTGCTTATTTTTAAGATTGTCTTCAACATTTGCTATATCTGCTATCCCATGTCTCCAGTCCTTATCTCGTCTGTAAGTCACGTAGAAATTCTGAAGGCACTGGATCTCCGATGTTGGTACTGTCCTGTTCGAACGCGCCACTACCGACGAGCGGAAACGTCGACTACGAGCGGCCGGTAAATAATCGACCCGAGGCATTCTCGCAATCTCTCCTCGGTGTCATCGTCTACCTTATCCAGATAAAACAATTTCAAACATTTCATCTGCTTCACTTCTTTCCCAAGACGTGGCGTATATTCGAATATTCAAATTTGCAGGATTTTATTATTGGAAGATTCGCTTCAAATTTAGGTAATCAAGAAGTCTGCTTTTCGTCAGAAACATAACAATAATATATTTGTTTGAGATTCTTCGCACTTCATTCTGGCTTTTTTATTTACCAATCTTGTTACGAATCATTTACAATCATGGCCATATAATTTTATAGTAGTTGGCCATAAGAATTTTCTGTACTAGATACAACTTTCTTCCAACGATTTAATTTGCAAAATCGTGTGAATTCTGATATAATTTTATTTCCCTTATAATTCATTATTTTTATCTGTGACATTTTCTAATTTGGATGTAGAATCTTCTACGTTGGATTATCTTGCATTTGCAGCTTATATAATGTAATACGCAACAGTTGGCGAGAATTACGAGTTTGTTACGAAGACATTGTATACTAAATGCAAATTTGTCTAATCTACAAAAAAATTGTAGATTCTATTGATCATGCTCATGCTCTTTATACTTATTTTCAATACTATGACCAGCTTCATGGATTATTGATTACACGTGTATGAGATTGGAATTAAATTTAAAGAAATCATTTTATCATACATAATATACTGAAAATAGTATAACTAATAAATCATACTGTTAGAAAAACAGGTTAGTGTTATTCATAAGACGAATTAAAATGAACCAGAGGTTCGCAATAGATCTTTTGGTGAGCCTGAATAAACATTTGGCAATTTGAAGTATTTAGAATATTAGGAGATGCCACGAAGGATGAATCATGATCAGCATACGTATCTCTATACCAGATTTCATTTACTTATTCAATAGCAGCCTCGTCTACTTAAGAAACATCGTTCAGGATTTTTCTCTACGAACTTATATTCGAAAGATGAATTTGTCCATTTGTAATTATGTTTATAATTTTATCTCTCGAAGTTAAATTCCCAATAGTAATAAAATTCTATTACACCTATTATTATTGATTCTGAAACTTCAACTGGAGTTCACAAAATCTCAAATGATCTACAAATGGAGCTTCACGGTCGACAATTCCAATCGAACCATCAAATATCAGCACCCTGACATCAAACATCTTTCTAACATCTGGATGATTCCCAAAGGCTGCATACCAGACGGCGAAGCGTCGCGCTGGTTTAACGCGAATTCGGAGCCAGGCAACCTTCGCGTCGTGGGCGAGAAACGAACATTATTTTCGAGCTGTCCTATACGTAGAGGCTCTAGTCGTTAGAAGGAAGGAGAAGGTTTGTTTATTGTTAGACCAGCAGTTTTTACACTTGGGCGATCAGTCGTGTCAAACCGTGATGTACATTCTTAAGCACAATAAAATTTTTCTGGGAACATTTAAAATCTCTTTCATATTTAATGTGATTTTAAAATTTGACTAATTGTATAGAAATCAATGAAAATTGCCGGCTGCTAGAACAAATTATTTATTGAGTTCCTGTAAAGCAACGAACTTCCATTAACAATAAGTACAATGATTTTAGATAGTTTTTATTGACTCGAAATACAAGAATATAATAAGAGGATTATAGAAATCAAGTAGAGTTGGATTGATTCGTACAACGGACGTTGGTGATTAAAGAATGGGTAAAGAACAGACGAGGCAAAGGGTAAAGTACTATGATGGGAAGGAACTATTGTGCAATTAGGTGAACGAAAACGCGGGGTGTCGAACCGCGTGGCCCACGAGGGTATCGACGCGTGCGCGCGTTTATCCTCCTCGGCACGCACTCGCCGCGGCTCTGAAATGTTGATGCTAAATAAAACTTCTAGCTTGGTTGGAACGATGCCACGCGTTCTAATTTTCACGAAGCCACGGGCCGCTGCGCTGGCGGACGCGGGTAGCCCGGGACGTCTGCCGCGTCGTACGAGGAGGCGGATGAATTCGATAGTGTCTCACGGGGCTCTCATCCGGGTTACCTGTGCCTCCGAAGGGAGGGAAAGCCGGGGAAAAGCGTGTCGATCGCCGGGTGTCTATCTAATCAGATACGTGATTGATATCGTGCAGATTCGTTGTTCCATACGCTGGTACCGCGGCTAATCGTTGCGGCCAACTGGTGACCGGACCGCGAGAGGAACCGTAGCGAACCGAGCCGACCCGCTATTAAAAGATTCGGCCGGCCAACCAGCTCCGTACCCAGTGCTACGTCCGCGGTTCTTCCATGCGAACGCACCGGTGACATGGCTGCTGCCCTTCTGGGCAGATGCGTCGGTCTACTGGCGCTCGGGTTGCTACTATACAGCTGTTACTGTTGCTACGCGTTCCGCGTACGCGACCATCCGGCCTCGCCGGAACAACAGCAGCAACGGTCCTCTTCTTGTAGTCCCATCTTTGGCAGATGCCAGGAGAGGACCACGGCGGCCACGTCGACGGGACGAAAGTGGCACGACGCGACGCGGCTCGCTCGCAGACCACCCATCGTCGGGCTGACGTCGACCGACGAAGATGACGAACGAGGGACGCGCTCGAGGCTTGGACGTTCCGACGACGGGGTATCGGAGAGCGTCGAGATCGACGAGGATGATGAGGACGTCGTAGTTGAAGTGGAAGAGGAGACCGTTGAGGAGATCAGTGATGATCTGGAGGAGGAGGAGGAAGATGACGACGAAGAGGAAAGGCGGAAGGATTACAAAATCAGGAGGAAAAGTATTGAAGACGAGGACGATGATAAACTGAAGAAGAGGGGTTATAAGGTGAAGAGGAAGAGTATTGAAGATGAGAAAATAAGCAGAGTTAAGGATGCTAAGAAGATTATAAGTAAGGAAGATGATAAAAGTACTGATTTAAAGAAAAAAGTTCAACCTGTAAAGCAGAAAGTCAGTAAAGATAAGGATGATGAAGATAAAGATGATGAGGATGAGGACGAGGATGAAGATGAAGATGAAGATGAAGATGAAGATGAGGATGAGGATGAGGATGAGGATGAGGATGAGGATGAGGATGACGAGGATGAAGAGGAACCTACACCTCCTCCACGTAAACTAGAGAAAGTCAGACACGCTGACAAGGACAAAGTCAGATCGACAGAAATTGTTATGGAGAAGCCAAAAGCGAAAGAACCAACAAAAGAAGAACCGAAACCTGAAAAGAAACCGGTAGAAGCTGTGAAGAGAGTCGAACCGGTGAAAAAGATCGAGGCGAAGAAAGTCGAAACTGTGAAGAAACCAGAGGACGGAAAGTCGTCGGTCGCAGCGAAGCCGGTCGAACCCGCGAAGAGGGTGGAACCCGGTAAGGCAACGAAATCTGAATCCGAATCGCCTAAACCTAGGACAACCGCGAAGCCGGAGGAGAGGACGAAAGTTCCCGTGAAACCGGAACCTGCGAGGAAGCAACCAGAAACGAAGAAAGTCGAAACAACGAGTGCTAAACCGGCCCCGGCGAAAGTTGTGCAAGTTAAACGATCCGATAGTGAGTATTGTGAAGTTTAAGATTGATCGTGATTAAGCATTCGCGTGTCTGTATACATTAGCCAATTGGAATTTATAATTGTATTAAATAGATTGGCGTATATGAAACATCGTCCTCATTTCAATGATTGAGTTTTCTGCTCAAGAGTCACGTATTATATTTTATCTAATCATTCACTTTTATGAATCAACATGAAGATAAAATAATTTGTTGCACGTGAACAAGATTTATACTAACGATACAATTTTATATAATATGTACAGTGCTTGAGAAATTATTTACAATATATGATATTCCATTCAAGAATTACATCGGTTTGGAAGAAAACGGTTCATATATTTTGATGTAATATTTATTTTTCTAATACTCTATCGGAATACAATATTGTTTATAGAAGATGAGTCGAAAGTGAAAACGAAAACGCACGTGGAAGCTTCTCTAACGTTGACTCAACTGAACGATGCGATACTACGCGTGCCGACGTTCGTGCCAAATTTCACGGCCGTTCAGGATTTTGAGTGTCAGCAACACGGGAAGATTTTTTTACGCCAATTGAGAGGCTACAAGCTATGGGCCTTGCAAAGTGAGCCAAACTCTTTTAACAAGTAAAAACACAGTTCATAAGAAATATTTACATAATTAATAAACTGATCATTATTATAAATGTACAAATTATTAAATTTTCCATGATAATAATAAATGTCAATTGATTATTAATATGTTCCACGCAGTGTTAGATTCGAGCGCGAAAATTCCGTCGGGTTTGTTGCGAGGCAACGTGAACCAGCTTGGTGACTTTGACGAGTGTCTAGGCGTGTTGGCTCACGTGAAATTGAACGAGAAGACGATCAAAGTGCAGGGCAAGTACTGTTTGGCCAGTATAGATCTGTACCCGTCAAATCCGAGCACGAAGCATCTGGTGAACATGATGCAGGCGCGCGCTTTTACAAGAGGAAGCATGCACGACGTGAGTGAACTCTCTATCTCATCCTTAAATAATTTCTAAGCGATTGCACTTCCAATTGAAAAGTATTGAAATCTCTTTTTTCAGCCAGGTCATTTTATTCCAAAATTCACCACAGTGAATTGGGCGTTGTGCCTTCCAGCGGTTTGTTCCGCCGAAGACGCGCAGAACGTCCTCGAGTACGCGTTGAGGGACTATAATTCCACGTTGGGCATCAAATTTCTGGTGGACGTCGATCCCAACATGTGCTACGTGCAACAGAAATCGCGAACCTATTCGAAAGAGACGATAGGCGTTTTGTACGTATAATAATTTCTCAGTATTTTCAAATTAACAATATATTGTTCTTAATATCATTACTTTATATTATCCAATTTTTCGCAGATATTTCTATGCAATATTTATCTGTCTTGTCGTCGTAGCCACTGTGAGGGATTATTTAGTTGTGTCAGAAAGGAAAGGTGAATTAACAGACATTTAATAAGTCAGAAAAAGTAATCATTAATTTTATGGAAATGATAAATATAAAATTTGTTATAGGGAACTATTCGGAGAGGATAATAATGTCCTTTTCCTTACGGCGGACCGTGAAGTTGTTATTGAAGAAGGGATCCAGCGATTTCGACATCACGTGCATCCATGGTATAAGGACGCTAATGACGATCACTTTATACGTCGCTCACCAAGTTATAGTGATTTCCAGATTACCGTTCTCCAATCGCATCGATCTGACGGAGGTAAGTAATACGAATCCCTTGAATATTTCCTTTTTTCTGTACGCTGGGGTTTAATGGTGTTGAGACAGGTGGCGAACAGTCCCATCAGCTCCGTTTTAAGGGTGTCGTACGTTTATACGGACGCGTTTCTGTTGTTCAGCGGCGTCCTCACTGCTTACAACATGGCCAACGAGTTTCTAAACAGAGGCGAGATTCGCTGGTTCTGCCGTTTTATAGCCAGATACATCAGGCAGGTTTTACTTTTCATAAACAGATTTCAAATTTATTTTCCCTGTTTTAACTAATTACAAAATTACAGTGTCTTTGTTAAATAAAATGTAGAATATTTTTATGTTAGAATTGTTCTATTTTCTTTTCCTTTTTTTACAGACTCACACCGCCGCTACTTGCAGTGGTGTTTTGGTACGCGTTCGTAATGGAGCACACAGGCTCGGGACCACAGTGGAATAGTTTAATAATACCGAATGCGGAGCTCTGTAAAAGCAACGCGTGGACCAACTTGTTGTACATACAAAACTTTTTTCCGTTTGAAGAAATGGTAATTGTTCTATCCTTAAACAAAAATTGCTTTCAACTTTTTTAACAACGCTCGCAATATTCTTATAGACGAGTTTTATGCAATCGCAAGCATTTCTTAGAATTTTTTGTTCCTTAAATGAAACTTTTCAATTCGATATTCAGTTTCATAAATTGCATGCATCAAACGATGGTACCAACACTTCTTTTTCATTTGAATCATAAATGCATACAAACCATTTATTAAACGTAATTATTATATATTATTCATATTTTATTAATTCAATGGTTAAGCGTTTTTAATATCTGTATTGTAAATCAAGTATATTTAATTGCTTGTTTAGTGCGCCACTCACACGCACCAATTAGCGCTGGACATGCAACTGTCGCTGTTAGCTCCGATGTTGGTCTTCTTCTTGGAGTGCAGACCCATCATAGGAACCCTCGTGATATGCTTCTTCCTTTTACTGTCAGCGACGTTCCGTTACATAGCGACGATGAACAATTATCTCTCACTCGTTGTATTCCATGGAATGTCGTAAGTGCAGTCGACACAATTCAATAATAATTTAATAATCATTTTCTGCATTCTTCCATTTCAGATTGAAGCATCTATATAGGACTGCCAATTTAATTTATACATTGCCTGTGCACAGAGCCACGCCATACGTTTTTGGCGTTGCACTTGGAGTGTTGTTACGTTACACAGGGAAAGACGTCAGGATTCACAAGGTATTTCAATTTCATTGCAGTTATTAGTAGAATTTTGAAACATTGTAATAAATTAATGTTTTATTAATACAATTATAATTAACTGATGTTCATTTTATATGAATTGTTACGTTCATGCTTCTTCATCAATGAAGAACCTTGACCCATCATGAGTAAGCCTGATGCACTTATTTCAGGTGTTCGTGATCTTGGGATGGTTGATCGCGATGGCCTTGGGATCGTGGACGTTATTTTCACCCTGGCACTTGGCCAGGAGGGACTACGTGTACGACGCCGAGGAGGCGACGAATTACGCCGTGATCAGTCCAGTCCTCTGGGCCCTGGCTTTATGTTGGTCAATATTCGCCTGCCACACCAATCACGGTGGTCCGTTCCTCCGTGAACAAATATCTACTTATAAAATATATTCATTATTGCGTAGACTTTATCCAGTCTGCGAATTCCGTGCACTTAAAGTAGATTAAAAATGTATTATAAGTATGAAACAAATTTTATTCTGAATTTCATATTTTAAATTGATATAAAATTTTTATCTTGCATAAAAATTCGTAGTGACTTTATAAAGATTACTAATATGATAAGAAGTTGAGATCACAATTATTAAAATTGTTCATTGTTCTACTTTTTATTTCAAAGGTATAATAAATAGGTTCCTTTGTAACTACTGGCTAGTGGTCTTCAGCAGAGTATCGTACGCGGTATACTTGACGCAATTCCCAGTATTTTTCTACAACGTTGGGACCACCAGATACTCTAGCGAATTCCAAATTCACAGAGCCGTATGTATAATTCATGCATAGTATTATTTATAACACTCATCTATAAAATATCATTTTATATTGAGTGCATTTATTCAATTGATGTATTAAATATCAATAAGTATCACTTTTTATTGAAATTACGATAACTGAAATTAATTTCAGATTGATCCATTGGAAGCATTAACAGTCGTAACCATATCAATCATTCTCACTCTGTTCTTCGACCTGCCCATGCACGAGATCAAGAACGTTATAATGGAGAGCACAGACATGCTGACGGTAGAAGTTCCCAGTGAAGAGAAGGTAGCCGCTGCCGCGGAACCAGCAGTCGAAGCGTCAGCACAGAAATTACCGGAAGAGGAAAAGAAGAAAGTCTTAGAAGAGGATGAGGTGACGCTGACCGGTTGGGACTGGCAGCGAGATATAGTCGACGGTGGGACGGGATTCGGGAACGAGGGCGTGGACGACGAGGAACAAGTTCATGTACCGATACTGAGGAAAGCTGACGTTCGTCGGAGATCGTTCATCGGTCGCGAGATATCCGAGTGGGACCAGATTAGACAGACTGGGAGATTCTCGAGAGACGACGAGGAGTACAGAGATCCAGTGAAGCGGATGAGGAGCAGAAGCAAGCAGAGGGATTATCAAGAATCAGAGGGTGATCCCAGGATGCAACAGGAGGAAGTTAAACGAGCTAGACGATCGCTCTCCAGGAGTCGCGAAGTTAAAAGATCCAGGGACAGCGACAACGAGGAAGAGTATACTGGAAGAAGAAAGCAAACCGAGAGAGAAGAGGAGGAGGAGGAGGAGGTAGATCCTAGATACAGGCGATCCAAAGGGAGATCGGGGAACGATCATCGTTCTCGGGAGCTAGTCGGCAGGGAACGCTCGTCTTCCAGAGGTCCCGAGCCTAAAAGGCTCTTGAGCAGATCGGAGGAGCGCGAGCAGAGGCAGTCGAGACCGCCGCTGTCGAGGTCTGGCGACTCGAAGCGGATCTTCTCCTCGGAGAGCGAGGACGATTCCCTGCAGCAGAAGCGGAGAATCGAAAAAAGACAGCCATCCGTGGAGCCGAGGATAAGCGACGAGGAGGAATGGGAGAACGAGCTAAGGATACGCAGGAAACAATTTATGGAGAAGCTGAACACCCAGCACCAGCAGGAAGAGGAGGAGGATTTTAGTTCCTTGAGAAGGAGATCCTCGGCGGAGGGTAAGATGGCTCTCCTGAAGGATCCCTCCGCGGACGATAACATGGACTCGTGGACGGTGAGCGTGGGCTCGCGGGTCGCCCACCTCGGATCCTCTCAGGAGCGGAGCGAGCCTGAGGAGGATCTAGCGTTCACGCAAAGAAGGGAATACCGGGAGCAAGCGCCGCCGTTTAGGGAGGAAACTCAGAGCGAGGAGGAGGTGATCTGGGACGCGTCGAGAAGGAGATCGTACACGAGTAGTCAAGTGACTTCCGGCGAGGAGGACGAAGACGTAACCAGTTTTAATTTCGTTTTGACGAGAGATAGCAAAAGGACGTCGCTTCAGGACCTCTCGAGATTGTCCCAGGACGATTCCGATTTAACCGATTCCGGGTGGAACATAGTAAAAAGTGGCGAGAGCGTGCCCAGATCGTCTTCAGCTGGTCTATATAAACGGGAGTCCATTATAAAGAGCCAAGCTAGCGAGGAAGACCCTGAATACTTGTTGCCCGAGAGGCCTAAGCTCGTTCAACAAGAACGGGAGCATCCTTTTAAGAAAGCTTGGCAGATGCAGAAATCTCGCTCCGAGGAAGACGCGTACGCGATGAAAGAACAGAAGGAATCGAAAGCCGAGTCGAAACCGAAAGATCGTGACGATTCTTCGATGCCTGACAAGGTCAAGAGGGAGTCCAGTGGGGAACAGTACGAGGACACAGGCGCGTTTGCCGACGACGAGTCTGAATCGATCACGCTGGCACGTAGTAGGAGCACCGACACCGAGGAGAATACCAGAACTAGTTCAAAGTCCGAGGAAACGGAATCCGCGTCGATGGAGAGGAGCGAGGCCTCGGAAACTAACAAAGCTAGTAGTCTGAAATCGTCGGACGTTGAAGAGGACTCATCGAGGTCTAGTTGGCCATCTGAAGATGAACAGTTTCACAGATCGGGCCCGAGGAGTAAATCTGAGGAGGCCGAATGGACCTGGGAACGAGAGGAGACTTGAAGGAGCTGAGAGAAAACGATTATAAATGCAAAAGTATAATGAGATAAATTATTGAGGGAGCGTGGCTATGGACTTGACGAATGGCAAAGTAAAAATGACAAATACGGCTGGTTCCTCGGGGGTGATATTATTATAGAAATCTGAGAAGAGCGCCGGTTCTGGACTGAGTTCGCAGAGTATTGGTACAGAACGTATTTTTACAATTGTATCGACTAAAGCAGAAATATTTATCTGTATTTAATTGTACCAATTTCAAATGATACCCTGTACACATGGAATATGGATACGTAATTGTGGATAGCAGTGATAAATCGTGTTTGGTTAATGAAATGAAACAGCGACTGGACAATCGGATTCTTGTTCGTTTTCAGCGTTCCTTTTATCAGCGTTGCATATAATTTGTGATGAATGTTGCTTGTTACGTGAAGACTACTGGCAATAAAATATCAAGACTTTATGTCATTTAATGGAGTTTCATTTAATTCTTGGTTTATTTAAGCGCTGCGATATAACGGAACAGATTTTTATTTTTAGTTCCCGACTCGGTATTATCTGTTTAGACGTGTCAAATTTATAAAACGTAAAGACGCGAGCTTGACAAATCTAACAATGAATATGGAAACTCAAACGATTTACCAGTATTTGGAACCAACTGTCCTTCAATTACCTCGACAGAATGTACTTGGAATTTCTACCCATTAAACTCGTCTTTGGTAGGATCCCGTGAAATCAAATTATCTAATAGAATCCGGGCGCGAAATATAGGAATAGTGGAGGACTCTGCGAGTCCCGGGCGCGGCGCGACGTTCTCAGGTATGAAACCGCAAAACGGCATAGCCATCGTGAACGGGGACGTTCGTGGAATTCGAAACGGTCGAAACGCGAACGGTACGGACCTTCCAGGGATCACTTGCCGCCAGTTTCGACTACCACGTTTCACCATCGGGCCCTTGAGATTCTAGAAACTCCGCGACCCCCCTCATAAGCTAGGAATGCGTCCGTAGTTCCGGTTCAGGTGTTCCTGACAAATTCTCCCGAAGAATCCCACCTTTTGTACTCTTTGTCAAAGAGCAGCCAACTCTTCACATTGTTTTTGATCAATTCATCCATTTCGCAGCTTCCTTTGTGATTGATTCATCAAGAAACAAAAGAATTTTGCTTACACCTCATGCTATTATTGTGTAATAATATCGCATGACAAAGAATTTAATGCATGGACTCCCCAGCACTTTTATAAAAATCCGAGAAATTCAATTATTGTTTTTTTTTTTACTTCGTATGATTGATCCCTTTTTGCCAGAGCTAGTATGTTTGGATCGTGCAAACGCGAGTGGCGACGTGTCCAGCATGCGGAAATCGGTGATTTTACACGGCGAGGCGCATTGTTTTTTACTGTTTTGCGACCTATAGCGTTACCTGCATGCGACCGGTTCACGTTTCTGCCCGTTGGAAGTCACTGTAAGCCCCGAGATGTACTCTTGCCAAAATAAATACCGCGGCAGCCGCGAATCCGGAGCACGCCTCACCTCTATGTCTTGCCCTTAGCGTGCCGTGAGAGGCGCCTCTCTGGCCACTCACAATCAGTCTTGTTTGCCTTGGCCGAACACGTATGCCACCCCGCTACAACCTGCCAATCTTCCACAGTTTATCTGAATTTAGTTTAACGAGCGGTTCTTAACGCGGAAACTCCATAAATCCAATCATTTTATTTTAATATAATATATAAACGATAAGTAAAATAGTAGAAAACTGGCATATAAAGATTAGTATCAGAGGAACATGAGTGAAGACAAATCGTAATTATTTTTTGAACAGTAGAATCTTTAGATAAGAATTTTAATTTTTAAATTTCTTGTATTTGGTTCGAATAAAATTCGCAATGTGTTACGTGCAGGTTCGATTGACCCAAGGCGTGACAACTTACGCCAAGAACGTATCTACCAACTGTCTCCTGACTGTTCTCTTCGAGACGTGTGTAGTTACTTCGGGTGAGAGCTGCCGCGTATTCGCACAATACAACAATCCCGGATCGTGTAATGCGACTAGGAAAGCTTTCGCTGCATGAATACCCAAGTATGCAAATGCCGCTACGCTACACCATTAGATGCTCCTCTTCAAACATCACTGGAGGGTTCTTTTCGTTAGACGCATCTGTACCACTATTCCTTCCCCACGTAGCTGCCGCGGCCCTTGACTCAGGGATTAATTTCCCCAACAATAAATGTTCCTTATGATCATTTACGAAATTGCAAATGAATAATATTGATTATAAAACTATTAGTTAGCTCTAAATTCGTAATTTAAAATATCTTATAGTTTTTTGTTGTCAACAAGATTTTTAT